TAGGTGTATAAAAGTTATCATCTGTAGCAAATTTTGAATTTTTTTTCTAAAATGATTTCGGGAAATATTGAAAAAAAAACCTATTAAAAGACGCACCCATTGAGTAGCATTTTTCGATATATGTTCATAGAAAATTTTTGTTTTAAAAATGAATATTCATCTCCTGTTTAAATTTGTAACAATAAAAAGTATTAAAAATTTATTTTATTTTTTGTTACTTTTGTGAGTTAATTTGTATTTTTTTATGTTTAATTAGGATTTCTTATTTCAATTTAAAATAAAAACGCGTATTTAGAGATTTTTGCTTTTTAATCCGTCTTCTTTCATTTCATTTTAATGGACCAAGAAACCCACCCCCGAAATAAAATCCTGGTTACGGCCCTGATATAGGCCATAGTATCAACAATGCTCTGATATTAATAGGCATTGTTGCTTTTTTTTAATTTTCGTCGAAAATGAATAAACTATAATGAAACTAAAATTATTTTTGCTTCTTTGGAGAGTTTAAGCATGTTTTTGAGCCGAAAAATCATCTGGTTCCTTTTCCAAACGTTTTCGCAAATTTTTCAATCAAAAGCACAAAATTTCGGCAAAAATAAGCCGAAAAATCACATAAATAATTTGAAAATGATGTTATATTTGCTTTTTTCAAACAATTTGTTGCGTTTTTAAGTCTAAAACAAAGTATTTTCTTTAATTCTTGCTAAAAAACATACCAAAATTAATACATATACCAGACTAAGTAAAAAACAACATAATTTATGCTCTTTTCGAGCGTTTTAAAACATTTTTCAATAAAAAACGCAATTATTTCGCAAAATTTTGTCAAGAATACATCGGAAAGTAATTGAATTAAGTAAAAATAGTGTTATTTGTGCTTTTTTTAAAACATTTATTTGTTATTATTTATTTATTTAAACATATTTTAACACCTTTATCCACTGTTTATTCAACAATCCAAGTTGTATATAAGGCCTTTAGCATTTGCTAATTTCATTTCTAATAGAAACCAACACTTAAAAGTCTTTTTCAATAAAATAATATTGCGAAAAAAATTGTTTTAAAAGAAAATATCAGTTTTCAAAAAAATGTTACATAATACCTTTATCCACTCGCCCCTTCAGTTAATATTGAATGTTAAATATCTTTTCATTTATCAATTCTAGACATTGAAAGTTTATTCTTTTAATATAGACAATTTATCAATTTATTAGATGCAAAAATAAAAAATAAGGTGTTTCATTTAAATTTTTTAAGTTATTTAACTTTTAACAAACTTCTTAATTTATTAATCTTTACAAATGCAAAACATTAAAAAATTGCTACAGCTTTAAATTCTGTACTTTCTTCTTTGCAAAAGTAAGAAAAAACTTGTTCTAGCTGTCTTAGTTTTTGTGTAATAAATTTTTAAAAAGTGCATGTTTTTGTCAAGAAAACTTCTTATTTCGAAAACTAAGCGAAATCGACTAATAAAAAAACATTGTTGTAAAAGGCTACATCCAAATATATGGTGTTTCATTTAAAAAAACACAAGTTTGTATTGTAACTTATTTTTGAGACACACTGTATAGTAGAAAATAATTTTAGGTGATAGACTAGATTAGTATCTATCAATGTTCTATATATTTTTTTTTTACCGTTTAAAGGTCACTAATGTACTTTTACAACTCGCTGGGACACCTGTATGTGCCAAATCAAGCTGTCAATATGTCAGTGTTGCCAACTCAAACACTCATTCTTGATCACCCGGTATAAAGAAAACACATTTTTTAACTTTTATATTCCCACAATTGTCTTGTTATTCTTCCTAACGACAGTCACGCAGCACGTTGCATAAATAAATCAATTAAACCCGATTATTGGCATTTCGTAACGGACTTTGTCGATGTTTTGTACCGACTTGGGGCCCGTTCAAGCGTTGCAATACTTAATTTAATCCGAGAAACGGTTTGTGGTCAGACCGATTATTGCGAAAATTTGGACAGTTGTAGAAAAAATAATGTATGTTATACCTTGTCGCGCTGTAAGATCCTGGGGATCGTTGAGGTAGAGGCCATTAAGGCCTCGGCCACACGACTTCCACCACCAACCGCCCTTCAACATGGAGGCGCAGTTGAGACTCGACCTATCGTTGTCTCTGGAAAAGMCAAATGAATTAAATTTTTTACTAAAATAAAAAA